GGGACCCTGTGAGCCTCCGTGGCCGGTGTCCTCTGTGGCAGGGACCCTGTGAGCCTCTGTGGCCCAGCGAGCAGGCCCCTAAGGCTGCTGCAGCTGCCCGCAGCAGTGGCTGTTTGCATGACTTCCTGAGGTTCACCTGCCTCCATGTCAACCTTACATTTGCCATGAATGGAGGGGACTGTGCCTCTGGGATGTTTTTCCTGGTGGCACATTAAGTGAATCAGGGTGATGCAGGGGTGGAAAAATTGACCGTGGGTGTGAAACTATGACACTGTTTTTACTGCCTTAAGCTGAAAAAGTGCCTTGTTACCTAAAGGGCGTCAGGCCATGGAAGGCTGTTTTCTCTCATGGGTGTGGTGTGTACTTCTCGGTGTTTGTTTAGCTGAAATAGCAAGAGAAAACATCTGCCAGCCCAGAACCAATGTGGAGAAAGGCTGTGTTTAGGTCACTTCTTTCTTTCATTGAAATAAAGGTTCAATAAATGTTGGCAGCTTCCCTCCTCGTCCACAGTCCTGCTAACCGGAGCATTGCTCAGTCCCAGAGGTAGACAGAACACTGAGTGATTTTTGAGACAGATGGAAAAATCTTAGTTCCTTTTAGCCTTTTCTCAAAGATCTTACTGGCCACACTCACAGCCATCATTATTTTGTTCCCGGCTGCGTTCTTTCCATCATCCCCAGTGAAGAATCTATGAGCGAGCGCTTATCCCTGCGAAGTGCTGGCAGCCTGCCCTCCCCCGCCTGCGGCCCCACCAGCCCTGCCCCTGGTGGGCTGACGGCGGCTTCGTGTCTCTCTGTTCTGGATTCCTTTTCACTACTCCACTCCTGATGCCCCGATCCTTCAATGATTTTCAGGGTGTGTGTGTGGGTGTGTGGGTGTTTACTTTTTATCCTTTTATTGTAGTAAAATACATGTAACAAATAAAACTTGCCCCTCTAACAGTCTTCAGGCGGGCAGTTCAGTGGCATCTATTATACTCACAGTGTTGTGCTGGCATCACCACATTACTTGCAGACATTTTCATCACTGTGCACAGAATCCCTGCGCCCGTCAGCAGTTGCTTCTGCTCCTCCCCAGGCCCTGTCGTCTCCTCTGATCTCATCTCTGGTTCTGTCAATATGCCTGTTCTGGACGTTTCATATAAACAGAATTGCACAGTGCTTGTCCCTTTGTAATTGGCTTATCTCACTGAGACTCCTCCCGGTTGTAGCATGTGTCAGAGTGCCCCTCCCTTCAAGGCCACCTGGTGCTCCACTGTATGGACAGACCACGTCTATTGAGGGGCCCGGGGTCGTTTCTGCCTGTGGCTATTGTGAAAACGCTGCCGTGAACATGGGTGGACAAGCTCTGCTTTCCGTTCCTTTGCACGCACATTCAGAAGGGGGGCCGCTGGCTCACGGGGTGGCCCCGTGTTTAGCTGTTGGAGGAACTGCCACACTGCTTTTCACAGTGTTTGGGTTGTTTTTACATGAGCGTTTCAAGGATGGGTTCCCTCATCCCTGCTGACACTGTTTTCCATTTTTCTGATTATAGTCATCCTAGTAGGTGTGAGGTGGTATCATCCTAGTGTGGTTTTCAGTATTACTGCTTATTTGTCCACGTCTGAATAATCTTAGGAAATTCATTTAACTCCTCCAAACCTAGGATTCCAAACCTGTCAGTGAGGACTCTGGACCAGCTCTGTGCGTCTCCTGTGTGTGAGGCTCACCTGGGAGCCTGGGCTCCTGGCCTGAAGATGTCAGGCTGGCTCAGGGTGGGGACACAAGCCTTCCTGCAGATGTCCCCAGGTGGTGCACCCGTCTTTCTCTCCAGTCTCCTCTGGCCCACGACCCAGGGGCGTCGGTGACTTTCTCAGTCCCTCCGGGGCGTGGCAGCTGAGAGGTACCTCATCCTCACACGAAACCAGGACGTCGTGTCAGGCGCAGGCCGCAGAGCCCAGATGTTTGTAGTCGGGGGCCGTGACTCATGTGCGCATTAGAAGTATCAGAGTGAGATCTAAAGACAGTTATGTCTCTGGAGCGCTACTGTGTCCTTTTGCTAACCGGACAGTTTGAATAATGAACTAACTGGGGTTTCCTGTCACATGGCATTAATGGATGCCCCGCAGGGTCTTCCTGCATTCTGACTGCGACCATGTGCTTTGCCAGGCTATTCGGTGCATCGCAGAAGGGCTGGCGGACCCAGAAGTTAGGACAGGACACCGCCTTGCACTTTATCAGAGAGCCATGCGCCTGAGAGAGTCCCCGAGCTGCCGGAAGTACAGGCAGCTCATGCATCAGCTGCCAGAAGTAACTGTGGACGATGTGAAACATGTAAGTTGTGCCCTTGGGCACTCTGGACTCAAATGCATGTGCCAGGTTTTTCCCGAGTGGAAGCCTAAGAACAATTTTTAATGGGCATTTTCTCTTCAGCTTGGGAAAGCCTGGTGCTCCCCGAGGACAGGGCTGAGCCATTCATTCCTCCCTGTTTCCTCACCCGTCCTCCCTCAGGCTGGGCTGGCTGGCGGGCTTGCTCACGCCCTGGGGTGAGGACTTTCTATAAAACTCCCGAGTCAGAGCCTTTGCCAATTTGGCCTGCTTGGTCAGGGCACCTGGAGGGCAGCTCTGGGGTCCCCGTCCTCCCAGGGGGCTGGGGCGGTGACCTGTCCACACCCTCACAAGTGCCACAGGGCAGGTCACATGGCCTTGCACTCTGCTAAGAATGGGTGGCTTTCGAGGGCATGTGGGAAAGTGTGTCCTCAGACAACCAAGTCAGGCTTGCACACCTGTGGCCGACGTGAGGCCAATGGGTCCTCCCGCTGCCCTGTCTCAGGTGACCATCACGGGCCGGCTGTGCCCACAGCGTGGGATGGGCAAGTCCGTGTTTGTGACGGAAGCTGCGGGGGCCGCCCCTGCCACGCTCCTGTGCTCCGTGGAGGAGCTGGCACTGGCCTATTACAGACGCAATGGCTTCGACCAAGGTAACGTGCAGTGTTTCTCTGCCACTGGTCCCCTGTGATGCTTTGTCCCGTCGTCCCTCCGTGCTGGCCCCAGTGGGAGATGCTGCTGAGCTGGGAGGGGATGGGAACACATTTTACTGTGGTGGTTAATGGCTGTCTTCTCCCATTTGGCCAGTGTCGCCAGTCAGCGCCCGTGAGGGACAGCAAGCTCCGGAGGGACGTTAGGGGAGAGTGCGGCCATGTCGTGCTCAGAGCTGTGAGGCAGGGGAGGCGGGAGGCCCAGGGACCAGACGCCACCTACTAGCGACCCGTTAGAGGAGACAGGAGCCGGGCGCCGAGGCCCCAAGGGAGTCGTGTCGTCCTGCTGCTGTCCTTGACAGTCACCGAGACAGAAAGCAGGGACGAGGGCCGGAACAGAGGGGACCCGCCACGCCGCTCCTGACGGAGGCTCTGTCCCGAGTGTACTGTCCTGAGTGACCCAGGCATGGCCGCCTGGCCTCACCCTGTGTAGCACTGTGACCAGCCAAGGAGGGGTTGTGGCAGTCAGAGCCTCCTTGGCCAAGGCTGTAATGTGGGGAGAGCGGCGTCCCCGTGGCCACCGTCCCTGGCAGGTGTGGTGAAGTGCAGAGGAAGACTGGGAGGCAAGGCCAAGTCCTTGGTCCCCTCAGACTCACCTGGCCTGGGTCGTGACTGGCCCCTGAGGTCATCTCCCAATCCGTATGGTTTTGGGTGGTGTGAGGCTCTGGACTGGGTGGTCGCTGAGGTAGAAGTTTCCTGTAAAAGCCCTGAGTGGTGGAAACACCGTTCAGGCCACAGCAGGGGGACGCTGGGCCCAGGGACATGAGTGGAGATGCCCGCTAGGGCAGAGGGCACAGGATCCCAGATGCTCAGCCCCTGCGTCAGACCCCTTCCAGAGGCCGAGGGACCCCAGCAGAAGCACATGGGGATTCTGGACCCACCCAGACCCATGAATCGAGCCCCAAAACCTGGGAGGGAGTCTGCTTCTATTTACTCATTTTTAAATCACGTTCCTTAGGTTTTTCACCAAACTGAGAACCGCTGTGAGGCTCTGAATTTCCCCATGATTACTGCCTTTAAAAGAGGCTGCTGTATATAAGCAATATAATGTGAAGAAAATGAGCTAGGAATGACATGAAAATAGCATTTGCCTTTGAATCTAAAGCATTTCTATGATTTCCTTCACACTAGGCAGTAGGTTATGGTGGTGGTTTTTAAAAATGGGAAAACTGGGTTTCCTTATGTGTGGGACTCTGCCTTAGGCATCCACGGGGAGGGCTCTACCTTCAGCACGCTGTACGGCCTGCTCCTGTGGGACGTCATCTTCATGGACGGGATCCCAGACGTCTTCAGAAACGCCTACCAGGTACCCGTCAGGTCCCGCTGTCCTAGGCGCAGGCTCCTTAGGTGAGCAGACGCTTCGGCCCCTAAGCGGCATGTCCACTGTCGACCGAAGCCTGCCTGTGACAGTCCTGTGGATCATGGCGCTAACTTCACTGTCAGAATAGCTTTTTTTTTTTTTTTTAGCTGAGCCATCCTGCCACCTGTTGGCAGCTCAGCGGCAGCTCAGCTCGGGCCAGGAATCGAACCAGCAACCCTGTTGCTCAAAGCTTGCATTCTTGAGTGAGCTCTTAACCAACTGAGCCACTCAGCCGGCTTCCAGAATAGCTTTTAATTTAAACATCTGATTCACGGAGTTTAAAATGTAAGTGCGTTAGTTTTGAAACGTTAGGCCTGATTGACCTCCAACATTCCAGGTGAAGCTGTCGTGTGAGTATCACTTCTGCTGGGCACCGTGCCACCAGCTCCCACCTGCACTGCCTGTCATATGTGCCCACTGAGCCCACTGATTTCTCCTGGGGACTCTTCTCTCATGTTATTATTCCAAAGACCTGATGTAATAAATTGCTTTTATATTAGATTACTTAGATTTCTTTTAGATCTTTTGAGAAAGAGTGCTGATTTAATTGTCTGGGCCAGTTTCCCAGTTCCAGGCCCTGAGCAGTCTGACGCGTCGGTCCCCCGGGCACAGTCTCAGTGTTTACCCTACATCTCAGGCGCTCCCACTGGACCTGTGTACAGACAGCTTCTTCGCGAGCAGGGCGCCAGCCATTGAGGCCAGGCTGCAGCTCATCCAGCAAGCCTCTGCAGAGAGCCTGCGAGCCTGGGTGGCCGCCACGTGGCAGGCCCAGGAAGGCAGAGCGGCTTCCATCGTCAGCTGGGAACGCTTCTCTTCTCTTCAGCAAGCTCAGGTGAAATCTGCGCGCAAGACACACACACACACTCACAGATATGTATATATGTGTGTATGCATGCATGCAGGTGTGCTTCCATGTACATGTACGTGAATGTGTTTATATACACATGCACGTGTGTGTATGCACACACATGTGTACATGTGCATGTGTGCATGCGTGTGCTTCCATGTATGTGTATGCATGCGCATGCATGTATGTAATACCCCAGCCTAGATGCCAGTTATTGATGGGAACATGTTGGCATAAAACAAGCGCCAGCTGTGCCCTCTCCCCCTTCGTTGACAGCGTCCCCTTGCCTGACGCGTGGCACCTGGCACGGAGGACGCCGTCCCTGTGGCACTGGCCTCTGTGCGTCATCGCGGCCGTATTCCAGCTCGTTCCTAATCCCTCTTCCTCAGCCGCTCCCAGGCTTTTCCCGCTGGGCGGGCTGAGAACTGGCCGAAGCTGCTTTCGCAGAGCTGGCCCGTGGGGATGGTGGCCAGTGGCCCGGGGCCCCAGCGCAGGCAGCAGAGCGGCACCCGGTGCCGCTGGCATCCCATCTCGTGGTCGCTGAAATCTCGGGGTCTGAGCGACAAGGGGCTGACGAGTGACCCACGTGTTCTGTGCTCAGGACCTCGTTTCCTGCCTGGGGGGCCACGTCCTCAGTGGTGTGTGCAGGCGCCTGGCCGTGGACTTCCGACACTGCCGAGGGGGCCTCCCGGACCTGGTGGTGTGGAACTCCCAAAATCATCACTTTAAGGTCAGTTCAGCCCGAATGGAAAGTCACACCTGTAATTTTACTAGCAACTTCATCGAGGGCCACCGTCTAGGCATTTCCTGCATGGCTGCTGGTGATACTGAACGCCTTGAGAACTACTGGACTGGGGGCCAGCATTCCTGGGTGGCTGCTGGCCAAGGCCCCTCAGCTCCGCCTGTCCGCTGGGCAGCTCCACCGGCCACTTGTGAGAAGAGCAGGTGTGAGCAAGATGGAAGTCACGGGCTCTGCTCACCTGACCTTGGAAGTGACCTTCCATCCCTTTTGCTGCGTCCTGCTGTTAGGAAGGAGCAGGTCACTAGAGCCAGCCACACTCAAAGAGAGGGCTTTCTCAGGGCAGGCGCACCAGCGGCCCAGGGTGAGTGGGCTCTGCTTTCGAAGCTCCCAGGAGTGAGCGCCTCATGTGATCACAGCATGGTGGTTTTCTTTTCGGTGAGTTTTGAGATTGAAAAAAAAAATCTGGATATAAGCCCTTTATCAGATATATTTCATCCCATCTATGGCTTGTTTTTCATTCTCTTAGTAGTGTCTTTTTTTAAAAGATTTTATTGGGGAATTGTGGGAAGGGTAACAGCCTTGGGGAATCGGGGAGGGGAACAGACAGGTAGACAAATTGCTGTTTTGTTCTTCAGTCTAGTTGTGGAGGATGTTGCTTCACTGGCCCATGTTGGTATTATCATTGCATTCTTCCCAGGTGAGGCAATTGGTCGCCGGTCGTTGGTCGACCGCTCACAGCAGCTCCCAGTAGCTCACACCGTCTACCAGCCACTCACGCTGGCTGCCAGCCACTCATGTAGCTCACTGCAGCCCACGCCATCGCCAGCGACTCACAGCAGCCGAGCTCCAGGTCGAGCTGTTGTTCACCATCTTAGCTGTAGAGGGCGAGTGTCACTAGCCCTCAATGTGGGATCCGAACCGCAGCCCTGCTGCTCAGAGCTGGTGCTCCCAAGCCAGCTCTTAACCAGCTGAGCCACTCGGCCGGCCCAACAGTGTCTTTTTAAGAGCAGGAGTTTTCAATTCTGACAGTCCAACTTACCTGTTCTTTCATGAATCATGCTTTTGGAGTCATATGACACCTCTGACTATAATTGCGGATTTGTGTATTTCCCCTGCAGCTCTATCAATATTCGCTTCAAATATTTTGAAGCTCTGTTACTAGATGTATAAACTTTTAGGATTGTCAGACTCTCCTGATGGATCACCCTTTATCATTATGGAATGAGCCTCCTTTATTCTGGTGTTATTTGCTCTGAAATCAACTGCCTGTCGTTAATATATAGCCACTCCATTTCTTTTTGATGTGTTCACATGATACATCTTTTTCCATTCTTTTAAGTTACTTTGTCTTCATATTTGCGATTCTTGTAGGGGGCATCTAGTTGGGTCCTTTAAATCCACTTTGACCACCTCTGTCTTTTTTATTCTTTTTTTTTTTAAGGATTTTATTGGGGAACAGTGTGTTTTTCTAGGACCTATCAGCTCCAAGTCAAGTAGTTGTTTCAATCTAGTTGTGGAGGGCGCAGCTCCTTGGCCCATGCAGAGATTGAACCAGCAACCTTGGTGTTATGAGCACTGTGCTCTAACCACCTGAGTTAACCAGCTGCCCCCACCTCTGCCTTTTGGTATTTGGAACATTTACATTTAATGTAATTATTGTTTGGCTTTAAACCTACCATCTTGATACTTGTTTTCTATTTGTCTCCTTTCTTTTGTTCCCTCTTTCTCTTTTTTTCTGCCTTTTAAGGCTGCCCTTATGCCTTTGTTGGCTTGTTCACTGTACTTCCTGTGTTTTAGTGGGTCCATTAGCATTTACAATGTATATCTCAACCTTATCTACCTGCAATTATACTAGTCCCTGTATAGTACCAAGAACCTTACAACAGTCTCTTTTTGTATTTCCTCTCCCAGCTTTCGTGCTGTGTTCATACATTATGCTTGTGTTATAAATGCCAGTTTTTGTTCTCTGCAGTTGATAATCCTTACTCACATTGGTTTCAGTGCTCGTTACACCTTTGTACAGACCGATTTCCATCTCATTTTTCTCATACTTAAAGGACTCTAACATTTCTTGAAGTGGACGTGCTTGTAACGAAATTAGTTTGGTCATGCATGTCTTTAAGTCTTAATTTCACCTTTGTTTTTGAAAGGTGTTTTCTCCGGGTAAAGAATTCTATGTTGTTTTTTTCTTTCACTAATTTAAAAATATTGGTCCACTGTTTTCTAGCTTGCATTTCCGACGAGGACTGGTTTGGTGTTTTTTTTCACACTGGCTTTTCAAAACTCTGGCTGCTTTTAAGCTACTCCTTTTATCACTGATTTTGCCTTTGTGTTTCTTTCTGTGCTTGGGGTTCATTGAGCTTCTTGGGTCTCTGGGTTTATGGTTTTCGTAAAATTTGGAAATTGGGGGCCATTAATTCTTCAAATAGTTCTCTTCCTTCTGAGAACTCTAAACACATTAGGCTGCCGAATGCTTGCTTATTACATTCTTTTTTCTATACTTCACCTTGGATAGTTTTTATTGCTGTCTTGAAGTTCAGTAATCTGCCGTGAACAAAACTGACACAGTTCCCGCCATCCTGGAGCTGACCTGTAAGGAGCAGGTGTTACACTAAATGCCGGGAAGGCTGTTGGACCATTCTGCAGAGAATGTGAGCTGAGAGAGGAAGGACAAGAAGTCGGGCATGTGAAGAGCAGGGGACGTGTCCTGGGCAGGAGACAGCCGGCTCAGGGGCCCTGGGGTTGGGAGGAGGTGGCCTGTCTGTCTCAGGCACTGAGAGGAGAAAGGAGGCCTCTGGGGTGGTTACCTGGGCCAGGTCTTAGTTGTGTGGGTCATGGCAAGAAGTTTGGACTTAATTGCAAATATAACAAAAAGTAACTGAAGGGTTTTAAGCAGGGGAGCATACAGTGCACACACTGAAACTGTTTTTCAATTGCTATATTCTTATGTGACCGGTCTCGTTTCTACAAAATAGAAAAACTTCTCAATGAGTTTCATATATGTAAGTACCCTGGTCTTTAGAATAAGCCGCTGAAGTCATTGTCTAGTGAAAACTACTGTAGCTATCTGAATGGCTAGCCCACTTCAGTGAGAAACTTAAGAACTTTCTGAAACGTCTCTTCCAGCTGGTGGAAGTCAAAGGCCCCAACGACCGCCTTTCGCAGAAACAGATGCTCTGGCTGCATGAGCTGCAGAAGCTGGGGGCTGCAGTCGAGGTCTGCCACGTGGCTGCGGTCGGAGCCAAGAGCAAACCTTAACTGAGCTGTGGCATCGAGAAACCCGGCCAGACACGGATCAGAATTTCAAAAGCATGAAGTGTAACTACATTTTATGTAGCTTTGATTTGGTTATTGTCAGTAATAAACCCGATAGTAAACTTGGTCTTGGCTTAAATACACTCAGTGACCCTACACTGCAGGTCATGAACTTTTTAAAAGGGGAAATCCTTGGTGGCCATTTTAGGGCTGGAGACATCTAATGTTATTAGACTCACAGAAAAAAACCAAACAAGGTGATTCACAGCTTTTATAAAAGTAGTATGCAGTGTTTCTTTCTCATAAATATATTGGAAACAGAGATTCTTGAATTGATCTAAGTTTTTCTATACTGTTTTGCACATTCAGCTGTTAAAATTCGCTTTATGATTATCCAAGGGCATACATACACAGTTGAAATTCTGATTTCTCTAGGAATTAAACAAATTCTCATTAAGTTCCTTTAACTTAGTACATCTGCCAGTGCTTGCTCTCTCACCGGTCAGATCACAAAGGAATGAAGTCATTATCAAAGGCAGCTGTCCCCCTTCACCCCTCTGCTTGGGGACCTCCCTACTGATGAGGGTGGGGGAATTGAAACAGGGCTGCTGGGAGCCTTAGCGGGGAAGGGGTGAGGCAAGCACTTTATCAGAGTCAGGGGCTGGGGTCCCCGTGTCCCAGAGACTAGTTCTGGGACCTTCTTTCTTTATTAACTCGAACGGCAGGTCCAGACGTGGTCCATTCACACCCACGTGGCCTTCCCCACGGCCAGCAGGTGGGCCACCACTGCTGTTGCAGGGCCAGCGGATGCCGAGTGCATGACACACACGCGTACGGCTGGAAGAAATGCCTCCCCTCCTTCAGTCAGGTTCTTGTGGATAATGCATGTTGGAAACTACACCAAACGGTTCTGTGGGGCTTTTATTGAGCGCTCCGAATGCTCTTCACATTCATTCCTGCTGAACAAGGCCCCTCAGCCTCCCGCTCATCCTACTGGAGCGCACGCCGACCTCAGGCACAGAGGCCTTGGTTTCCTCTCAAGGTCAGCTTTGAACGAGCTGAGGTCGCCGCTTCAGCAAGCAGCTTCTGTTGACATACAGAATCGTTTTCACCCTTTGTCAGCACAAATTAATATATTTAAACAAAGTTAAGACATTTTTGGTTTTAAATTGGCTCCCGTCACAAAACAACAGTAAGACATTGTACATCTTTAGGTTCAATACTGGTAAGTCCAAGGTGGGTGACAGCCGGGTGGCACAGGGTCACACTCCGGACTCCGTCACTGTGTCACCCTGTTGCTAGGAGAGGGCCAGGGAGCTGTGCAGTGGCCAGGACTTAAGGCTGTTGGAGTTGTTCTTCATATTATGCGTGATAAACGGCACAATAATCATGATACAACTGTCCAGCAAAAAGAAAACGAAAAACCGTATTTTACTCCATTTGATTATCATACAAAAATATGCACATTTTCTATTTTAAAACAGTATTAATAGTACCTAATTGTTTTTAAACTTGTAAATTAAAATAATTACTAAAGAAGTTGAAATAAATGTGTGAAGGAAGAAAATTATAGAGAAATAAATGCTCATGACCCTCCCCCCCCAGGGTAACAAATTTAAAACAATTTGTAATAAAAAAGCAGCTTAATGAAAAAGGGAGAATTATTACTTTCAATGGCAGGACATGCTGTGGTGTTTTAGGGGGATTGGGACTGGTTTCCAATCAAAGACTATAAAACGCTTAATGGCAATGGTACTCTTTATATAAACTGAAAAAAAGCCCTTATTTTCTAGGCAAGTTGGCAAAAATACTGGGTTTACCCACAAGATGCATTTTCTAAGACACCATATAGGAATTTCCATCCCTTTAAATCCACAGACATTAACAATTTTAAAAAAGGCAAATAATTCAAATAGAAACAGCTATTCATTCCATATAAAGGTAAAACACACTTTTGAAAAAACCTGTTTTAGAAAAGGAGATAAGCTAACTAGACACTTCACTATAAAAATTTTTTAAAGCTTAAGATGGCAGTTTAAGAAACGAAATCGCCAAATTGGAAAACATCTTTTCAACAGGGAATGAGTATGTGTGTGCGGGGGGTGGGGCAGGGCGACGGGGATGGTGCTAAACGTCCCCGCCACCATAAGCGTCAGCTCTGATCCCACACACAGCTTGGCGAGGCTCACGTCACACGACTGGAAAACAAGCGCTTTAGACCAAGAGCACAGCTGCCTGCTTCCAGCCTCCTGTGAACATGGCTGCCAGGAGTCGGGGAAGGGCGGCTCTCGCTGTATATTAACATGGCAGGATTTTGAGAATTACATTTTTATTTCTTTCGTTCTCTATTCCTAAGCATTCAAACCTTTGAGGGAGGAGGGACTTCAGTGCAGGTGACCTGACTCATGACCTCATAAGTCACTTCCCAGGGAACATGCTAACAATGGTTCACACCCTGCATATACTGAGGGGGAGCCCTCTGGTTTTGAGGATGGGCTCAGTGCAGTCAGCAGTCGCCCCGCCACTCCTGGCACCACGGACAGCGGCCACCCCGCAGGCCTGCTGGTGTCCTCAGTGACTTTCAAAGGGATGGAAATATGGCTTTGGGGACTCCTGGCTATCTGTATGAAGCTTAATGTGAAAAGCCTGTTTCTAATACGCAGTGGGATTTTAACTCCCTAATTTTAAAAACAAATTCTATTTTACTGTTATTCATACCTTAATATTAACGTCAAAGGCACTTCTAAGTTTAATTATATTATCTACAGCAAATGCTTTTAAAGTTAACAGTGCATATTGTTTTAAAGTTAGTCCTAAGAAGTTAAAAGCAAACTCATGATTTTAAGACACAGTGATGTACGGTCCCAAACAAAGTGACCTACAATAAATTATGGTGTTGGAACACTGAACCCTCAAGGGAGTTCAATTAGAAATCATAGAAAGTGACCAGAAAAGCACACGAATACCTACCAGCACCTGTTGGGAGGTTTATCGATGCTTTAAAAAAGATACAAAACACTGATTTCTAAACTTTCCTGACACCTGCTGCTGAGGGTTGCTAATCAGGTGCTAGGAAACATGGATGCAGACAAAATAAATGTTGCAGACAAAACCTGACTAGTTTGATCACAGTAATAAGAATGGGGGGGGGGAATGTCTGCCTGCCTGCCAATGACCTAAAAATGAGCCAGAACCTAAAATGACAGAAAGAGGGCATCAAAAACAAAACTTATGATTATCTTCTAAAAATATCATGAAGGGAGCATAATTCAGCATGTTTTTAAACATTAGTGCAAATTTCAACAGTTACTCTTACATATGAAATTATTAGAGCTTCCAATGCCTAGGTTTGCGATTTAATCCAGAGGAAAAACGTTGGTAGCTTCCCCTAAAACGTTCAGAAAATGCTCCATTTCAGTCTTCATTGGCTAGTGTCTCAGTAGATAACCATATTTTGGCCCCACTTAGAAATTTGCTTAACGGTGTTCCTAAAATGCTTCGTCTGCACAGATTGCCGACCGGAGAGAAGGGGAAGGAGGAAGAGAGGAACTCGGGCGGGGCCGGGGTGTCGTGGGGGCCGTGCACCTGGAAGTACATCCGACTCTGGTCCAGCTCCGTGAAGCCGGCCTGCAGAGGCCCGGCCCCGGGCTGCCGCAGCGTCCTACTCAGCACGTCCACCTCGTCGGCCAGCAGGGACAGCCTGTGAAAGGCGGTGATGGAGCCCCCGCGGGCGATCTGTGCCTCGGGGACCCAGCGGAAGTAGCACAGTTTCCACAGCTTTATGTGCGTTCCAGAGAGCTGGGGCAGCAGGACGCCGTGCGGGTCGGCGGGCCGGGCAAACCACTCGCGGAAGTAGCGCTCCATGCCACCGTCCTGGCCGCCTGCCGGCTGCAGTGGGTCGGGCTTCCCTCTCAGTATTAACGAACTTCTCCGTGGCAGGAATTCTTGGTCACGGATGACTCCGTTCTCTGGGGAGGATGGCAGCCCTCGCAGTGTGGAGCTGTACGTTTTCTGTATAGGAAGAGAGTTTAGCATTATTGCCCTAGGGCTTCCCTGATTTTTATGATTATGATTATGATTATTATTATTTTTAAAGATTTTATTGGGGAATTGGGGAAGGGGAACAGCCACGTTGTTGTCCTTCAATCCTAGTTGTGGAGGGAGCTAGCTCAGCTCCAAGTCCTGTAGCAAGTCCTGTAGCAGCTCGTGGCTGCTCAGCTCAAGGTGCCATGTTCAATCTTAGTTGCGGGTGGGCATAGCCCACCATCCAAGTGGGAACTGAACCGGCAACCTTGTTGTTAGGAGCACGTGCTCTCACCAGCTCAGCGACAGCTCAGCTCAGGCGCAGCTCACTGGCCCATGTGGGAATCGAATCAGCGACCCTGTTGCTCAGAGCTCGCATTCTTAACCAACTGAGCCACTCGGCTGGCCCACTTCCCTAATTTTTAGAGGCAGCAAAGGTGCAAGAGCAAGTATAAACTCAGTGCTATGAAAAACTTTTGTAATTTCAGCCTAAAAGAACGTCTTGTCCCTTCCCTGGTAAGACTTATTCTTCCATGGGGTTGAGCTGTTTAGGCCCTGGCTGCCTGCTGACCCCAAGAGCCTGCGTGGGGGTGGGGAGCGGATACATGCGATTCATGAACTTGCTTGAGGGCGAATTTCTAAGATCTGGGGGTTAGGAAAAAACCTAGACGGGCTGATTCTAGAAAGAACAGGCAGACTGGACGGGTTTCAGGAGCGGGGCCTCCCAGGCTCAAAGCTGCCCAGGGCTTGGTGGGCCTCAGATACCAAGAAGAAAAGTCTGAGTACAACCATTCCGGTTAACGAGGGGACGGCCCTGAAAACCTGCACAGGCCGTGTCATCGTAAGGAGTGACTGACTTGTCACACTCCGTGTTCTGAACAAGATGTTTCCAGTTACGTGTGAGCAGGTGTTCCTGGTTAGTGCATTTTGGTCGTTTACCTTTGTCCGTTTAAAAGGTTTCACAGAACCGTTCTGCATGCAAGGCGTGCTCTTCCCAACGTACGACGGATTATGGAAGAGGGTGCGATCCTTGGCCGTAAACTGAAGAGACCAGTCCCAAACCGAGGGGAACCTTAAACCCTTTTCATCACCCAACTGGATATTTTTGCTTATAGCAAATTCCTGCAAAATAAAATATTTGAACATTTGTGAAAAGATGCCAAACTAAAGATGTTCCCACATGAATTCTTGTTTTTGCTGAGCTGTTCGTTCATCATTATCCAAGTTACATTGTCAGAAGTGGGGCCACTCAGAACCCACCGGAACAGCACCTTTTACTCCCAGACACGAGACATTCGTGGCCTCAGGCCTGGGGGACAATTCATCCCCTGCGTGAGCAGTGACGATGGTGGTTGGCTTTCTGAAGACACCAAGGACGCTGGACCCTCTGGGCAATGAGTGTGTTATTAAGAGAAGTCAAATTTCACGCACGGGGTACCGCAAACAGGTCCAAGTTATTTTTTACTTATGAAGCCCACGATCACACAGTCAGGCCACTGCCCGTTAGGTATGAAGCTTGGTCGTTGGACGGAACCACTGCCATCTATCCTACACCTTGTCCCTAAGTGGAGAGCCACATGTCCCCTGAGCAGTGGCCGCAGCCCAGGGTCAGGACAAAGGCGCCCACGCCCCATGCTCTTGGGGTTTGCCAGACCACGACGGCCACACAGCGCGGCCGGGCCCCGTGCGCACAGGAGCCCACCTCTGGCCCCTCGCTAGCTCATGCAGCACACCCAGGCAGCACCACGCTACGGGCTGGTAGCAGGCCGCCTGGACGTGGAGAAGAAAAGGAGCAACTCCCACTGCACAGCCGCACTGGGGGACTGGAGAAAGGAGGGAGCCTCGTCCTGGCGAGTGACCAAGGCAGGCTACCGCCAGAGTAGCCATTCATCTCTGAAGGAAACGCCCCCAAACCCGAGTCCGATTCTTACGTTCTGCTCTGTACCTTTCAGGATTCTCCAAATGTTGCACAGAAAGCAACTGCTTTGGAAATCAGAGAAAAGGCTAAAACTAGATGTTATTCGGAAATAAGTGCTACACTAAGGAGGCCATGGCTACACCACAGGCAGGCTGACCGGCCGCAGTGCCGCACCTAACAGCACCGCACAGCACACGTCACTATTTCAAATCAGGAAAACAACTCATGAAAGCACCAAATGTACCCAAAAGTATCTGTTATTTGAAATTTCATCATCTATATGTGTGGATAAAAGCAATCCATTTGCTTTACAACACAGTATTGTTAAGAGCTGAAATCCACTGAAACATAAACCCTGACCCATTTAAATGGCCCCAGGAAAGTATATAAAAAACGGTCATTTTTCTTTTAATGTGAAAATTGAAAATGTTTCTCTCTGAAGAAGAGATCAGATTTTCCACAGACAGCACCTGCCCACAAGCATCTACGGAGGCCTGAGAGCGGAAAGAAGGAAAGCTCTGGCTGACAGCCGTGGGGAAGCTGTGAGAACAGCGGGCGCGCTAAGAACAGGACCCGCAGGTCAGCAGGCAGCTCCCTCCAGAGAGCTCCGAGGCGGCTCCCTCAAATCACGAATACGAGACGCCAAGGGAGGGACTGAATCATGCCAAAATGTGCCAGGAAAAGCTTTGGAAAAAAAGCACAGCACCAGGGCAAAGCGCAGAAAGCAGACAATATGCTTTAAAAGGTATTTGTAAGCTTTCACTCCTGGGTAGAAATCTATTTGTAACCGTATCTCGGCACATCCAGAAGCCCACCAAGAACAGGAGTGAATGTCTCCAGGGGCCACCCCCCAACGATGTGCTGAGGTCCCCGGGAATGTGCTCTCATCTTACACCTCAGCCTCACAGGGTACCCGACTCCCCGGCCTGTGCAAACTTGGAAGCTTCAAACTGCGTGCCCGTGTGTGCACATGTGCCTGGTGTGCGGGGCAGCGAAGGGAGAGCAGAGCTGAAGGCGGCGCACGCAGCCCCATGAAGGACCGGCTTGCAGCAAGGCCAGGGGCACAGTGAATGGAGACCGTCTGTTTAAGGAACAGTCTCCCCTGAGGAGCTCGGAGCCTGTGGCTGCTGTCATGTCAGTGCAGCACCGGGAGAGGTGAGACTCTTAACGGGAGCACAGAATAATATAGTTCAGAGCAATTTCCTTTCCAAATGCTCCGACCTAAAACACCAGGACGGTGCTCAGTGTCGCTGACCCAGGCTCCCGACACAGCTCACCTGTTCTGTGGGGACCTGCTCCACCTCCCTGCTGACCCCGTTTCTGGCCTCTGTAATAAGCCCCCGGGCCCCTTCCTTCCCGGGACGTCTCATCTCCCATTAATGAAGTTCTCCCTATGGCAATAGCCTGAGTGAAACCACCTCCTTCAGGGCTGGGCATTTGGTCTTTTACATGCACAATGCTAAGTAACGCACTTCTTTAGAGGAATCAGCACGATGCTTCAGTTTACAAAATGTTCCCACCGATGGATCCGTTTTATAGACAAGGAGCCTGGGCTCAGCACTTTCCCGGCCACACTGCCTGGACCGGGCCTTCCTGCTGGGGCTGAGGCCCCACAGCTCACTGGGAAGGCGACCCCTTCTTAGAAAGGCTTCCCAGAGGCCCCAGGAGCTGCCTTTCTGTCTCTCTCAGCCATCACTGCAGCATTTACCAGCCATTCCTGCTGTTGGCTCAAATGTGGGGGAGACAGAACTTGTGGTTCTGCAAAGTTCCACCAGTGGCAACCAAAAACTAGTTTCAAGTTTGGCTGGAGACCTTCCTCTAGGTCAATGAATTGTGACTAGGAACTGATAATCTGACCCAAGTTGACTGCAGGGTGGCCGTGGGATTCTGAGGGTATGTGGTAAGCCAGCACCACAGGGAACCGCAGTCTGACACCATGCCTGCACTCACCTGAGACGCCATCTCCACAGAGCGCTCAGAGAAAAGTACCGTATTTGCCGGCGTATAAGACGACTCGGCGTATAAGACGACCACCTAACATTTCCACTCAAAATACAGAGTTTGTTATATGGTCAGCTGTGTGCAATTTTGCGAGTGTGGTAAAATCGCATAACAGCAAAATCGCACACAGCTGAGCATACACCCAGCAGCGCTGCTGATGCTTGAACGGTATGTGGAATGAAGTGGGCGGGCATCGGGAGGCCACTATGGCACGGGGCAAGCACTATGGGCAGTCTATCTGAAGTGTACCTGGCGNGCTGCTCTAAGGTAACTAACATTTTATAGAAATACAGGATGCAGAGGACCTCACTGGGACAAAACCAGCAATACCTAGAATGGAAAATTCCACAGAACAAATGACCTAGTTGTGTCAACAGATAAATGGTCAGTAAAAAGGGATGGGAAGACACTGTCACCCATAATAAGGCCTAAAAGACATATCCAGGGAGATGACTGCGCTCCTGATGGGAACAAACTGACATTTACAGACACAAAAGCAAATAAACAGTGACTGGATTATTGATAATAAGGAATTACTGTCAATGTCTTCCAATGGGTACTGATATTGTGATTATGTTCAAAAGCCCTTATCTTTAAGCTAAAATAGTCTTTAAAGCATTCAAAACAAGTATTCCATTGACCAAAACTTGGAAGTTATCAGTGACAGCAGAATTTGATTATTATTCATAAGACGTCACTCGCAGCTGTAAATGTCATCGTTAAATGTGGACTCACCAAGTGGATATCATGTAACCCTCGTTGATAGAGCAAACTCTCCACCCAGAAGCACGCGTCCTCTTGACTTCTCGGTCCCAGTCTGAGTAAGTTTCAAAGAGTGGCGTTTTCTGCCTGCTGCCACCACCAGCTGCACTGCCACCTCCTGCGGGTGCCCCGTTAATGTTGTTGGCTGTAAGAAGCAGCAATGCTATTAGTTTTGTTTTCACAGTCACATTCATCCAACACCCCCGGCCACTCTCGTGCCTCCTGTCACAAACGGAGGTGGCAGCTCTGCCCACTTCTCCTGTACATCTCCCCAAACTGTCTCACTATTCTCAGCAGTCCTGACAAACGGGATGCCTTCCCTCCGCACGGAACAACTCACTTGGTCTTGTCCTTACCCAGCCCTTCCCTAACTGTTCAGTACCTGCCATCTCTGCCCTGCTACTGGCTCTGTCTGCAGTGCCTTCCACACAAACAGGGCACCTTGATTCTGAAGACTCATCAGGTCACTCTGCACCCCACCCCTCACTACTACACCACACACCTCCCTTCCTTCCTTCTACCGACCGCCTTCCCCAGTGATGACCAATGCCTGGAGCCCGTATTTCCTCTGCATTTATTTTCTTCTTAACCTCAACTGTCTTCTATCCTCACCATCTACAGAAACTATTCATGAGCCTTCCGGCCCCAAGCTGTGGAGTAAACCCAAATCATTGCTCATTGTCTCCACACGCTGCCTGGAAAAAATGAATGCCTCCAACAAGCCTCTCTCTTCTCAAGCCATCGACATCTGTCATCTAATAGTGACTTCTCAGCCCCTTTCTATGGCTTCTTATAAAACTCCTGCTCTTCTGGGGCTGGCCGAGTGGCACAATGGTTAAGAACTNTAATCGAGTGACTACAGGTCTCGTGGTCAGAAAATGCTCCTCTGTGTAGACAACGCTGCAGCCAAACCCCAAGTGACCATGAGCCACATACAGATTGGGGGGGTGGAGGAGGTGGGGGAGGTGGGAGTGTTCCAGGCAGAGGGACAGCTAGTGCAAAGGGCCTGTGGTGGAACCTAGAGAAGGCCAGTGAGGCTGAGATGACACGTCTGAGGGAAAAGGGGGTGGAGATGAGGCTGGACAACAAAGCTTATGTCCTAATCATGAATAACAGGGCAGCTGAAAAAAAACAAAAGGAATTAAAATCATTCATAGCTTAATAAGCTGAATCATGAAAGCTGCCACTCGCTGTAGGTTTTATAATTAAATCTCATCAAACAGAGTGTTGCAGTCTTTCCTTTAAGAGCAATATTCCTAACTGAGCATTTAATCAGCAGGCATGTTAATGAAAACAAGGCCTGGAATATGACATAATACAGTTAATTTCTAACATGATTAAGGTAAAATGAAAATCTGCCAGAGAATATGGATTTGGGCAAACTGTAGTCACCCTCCTCGCCAGAAAGCTGAAGGGTCATCGGAGGGTCACTTGATAGCTA